CCCCCCCCCCCCCCCCCCCCCCCCCCCCCCCTTTCCCGTATTTTATTCTCAGTGAGAGGAGGAAGAACCGAGGGGAAGTAACCCGAGTGGTAGCAAGTGCCAATAGCAATCACACGCTGGCAAGACTGGCGATGGCTTCCTCATCTTGGGGTTGCTTACAAGCAAGCTGATGGCAGGTTTGACTTCCTGGCATGCGCCAGTACCAATTATCATCGAAACGAATTGTATGGGGATTCACGTATAAATGATCATTGACGGATCAGGAAGAACGGAGGGGAGAGGGCGAATTGGGTGGGGGAGCGATGGGCCATTCGCCCTCTCAGCGGCACAGGTAGCAGTGCTAAAACCAAAAAAAACTTTCTTTCGCACCTTCGCTCCCTCCCCCCCTTCCTCCCTCCGTCAGGATCTCACTCCCTTTTCTTCCCCGGTGGTAGACGCATCAGTTGGCTCACTTCCTCCCTCCCCCCGCCTCTTCCTCAGGAGCCATCCTGGGTCCGCCAATGTAAACAATGCGGAAAAAAACCTACAGTCTTGGTCCATCCTGATCATAACCAGCAAAAAGTAGTGCTACGCCAAATGGTCTCGACATCGATGCCTGCAGTGCAAAAGTGACAATTTTGGCTTCATGATCGCAAAAAATTTTGCTGAGTCGTGATTGCAGTTTTATATTTATTTCTTCTTTTTCACTCATTTTTGCTCCTTCCATTAATAATCTCTTCAAAGACATGCCTCTGCAGCCTGAGACTATGGTCCCGGTAAATTTGGAAACTCCTTTACGTCCCAGTCGACATATTACCTTCGATAAACAGTGGGAGAGCACTGGGGAAAGGAGCGAGGAGTAGGGAAAACTGAGGTACGAGATAAAAATGTACAGAAACTGGTAGCAAGTGAAATGAAGGACCACGGGGATATGGCTAAGAGAATATGGTACTTCTAACAATTCACTTCTTAAAAATGAAAAACGCAGGTAGAGGAATCTTGGAGCATCTAAAAAATTATCGGAAGGCCCGGGTCACAGCACGTCACGGTTTCCAGCTTCACAGAAGATGGGACGATGTGCTACGTTGAGGCATAGATGAACAAAGAGGTAATTATTCGGTGATTTTCCTCAAAAATTCGACGGTGATTTCAGAACTTTAAAAGAAAAAATTTTCCCCAAAAATTTTTCTCGAAAAAATTTCTCCCAAATTTTTTTTTTTAGAATTTTCTCAGATTCTCGAGAAATTCTAGGGCCCAATTCTGAAAACGAAATTTTAATTCCACATTTTTAGACTTCTTTTTTTATCATTAAAAGTCCAGCCTTGGCATCATCATCACCAAACTGTAGCGCCAGATTCGCAACAGACATTGTTACATCCTCAACGCGCATTTTTCGATTATAGGTGTACCAAAAATTCTGCGCTTCGGCCTGTGCACGCTCCACAAGCGTACGTGAATCGGCAATTAGGCCAGCAAACGTAACAGCTGAAAATTAATATACATTTCTGCTTTAAAATAACTGAAGTCTGTGAGAGGCAGTGTATGTCGTGGGCGGAGCTTCTTTTGCAAATAGACCTGAAGGGAATCAAACCACTCCTCTTCACACTCTGATGCGACATGCTATCCACTGCGCCAACGGCTTTTGTGCGCCGAACTCAGCCGGCGAGCACTTCTGCTGTGTATCTGCCTTTCAGAATTGCCTCTCTTTTCATGTCTGTCACCAGCAGGCTCTATATTCTTTTTGTATAAAGGTTTTTTCCCTGCCGACTTTTTGCCACTTTTCCGGTCCAGCGCATGAATATTTTTCAAACCTTCAGATCAGCCAAATGGGTGCGCATATTTGCGGTTTATGAATATCACGCTATTCAGGAGGTATCTCTCATCATGATGCAGAAATGACAACGCTTCTAATCGACATAATGCTGCTCAGCACAAACTAATGACATCTTAAAACTTCTAATGTTGTAAAAGGAACAGAGTGCTAACGGCAAGGAAACGAAGCTGCCGACTAAACCCCTTCGTCTTGCCCAGTTGCCCTTCAACTCCATGTGTTATGCAAATGTCTCGCCTCTTGACTCGAGTTCTCTCTCCCCGATATTTAATATGGTAATTATAAATGAAATATGAATTGTTTTTTGTGCCTCAGAAATTGTACGGCGGCAAATTGGAGCTGTTGCCGCTTTCGCCTTTACTATTGTCCGGTAGTAGCTTGAAAGTGTTGACGGGTTTTTTTTTGGCATGTTGGTTCTGCGCCTCTTTTCTGATAAGGGGTTGTTTATTAGTTTGGGCGAGAGCCACCTTAGAGCCGCACAATCTTTTTTTTAGAATTTTTCCCAGATTCTACAGAAATTTCCCGATTCTGAAAATGAAGCTTTAATTCCACGTTTTCAGCTTTCCTTTTTATTATTAAAAATCCAAACTTGGCATCATCATCACCAAACTGTAGCGCCAGATTAGCAACAGGCACCTCATTCTCGTTACACTAAAGCTTTGTCAGCTTTTGCTAAAAAAATTATTATGCTGGTAAACTCTTTAAGAGATGAAACGGACGTTAAGATCCCTACCAATGTGATCCCCATGCGATGCAGGACCGGAAAAGTTGCAGGTTGCATATTTGAAGAAATATGAAGCGCAGCTGACCACAGTAAACACATTCAAAAAATCTCAAATTATTATTTTTTTGGTTTGGTGGATGAGTAAACACATCCATTTCAATCTCCGCGGATTCCAACTGCCTCGCTCAGTCAGAAACAGTAAAATGCATACCAACATGTGAGTCAACCTTCGAAATCTTTTCTGTGCCTTCGTTAACCATCAATTTTGATGTGGCGCGTTTCTCAGCCGCTAAAATTACTCCTTCATTTGTACGGATTCCAATACTTGTAGAACCGAGCTAAAACACCAATAGTTCTAGAAAATTTTGATTGAAAAGCAAGTTGACTAAAACATAGCTCATCCAAGCCTGGTGAGTAAAAAAAATTTTGGGTAACCCTTTTTCTGAACCACTGGCGGATTTGAGGGGAAAAGAGTTCTTTCCGCCGGAGACCGCTCTGGATCCGCCTATATTCTGAACAAGCTATTGTAATGTGTACGGTTTTCTTGTCAGTTTCGCGAATCTAATCACGAATAGCCGAACTGTTGTTTATAACAAAAAAAAAATGACTCGAAGCGCCTCTAATGTAACAGTGATATGTGGAAATAAAACAGCACGACATGTGGAAATAAAACAATATAAAAACAGCGTAAAATACTGGTCAAAAGGTCTTGAGTCAGAATTCTTCCCGAAAATAGTCATGGACTAGGAGAAATCGAACCGCATGTCTTCACATCCGGACGCGAAGTACTATCCAGCGCATAACTGTCTCCATAGGCGAATCCAAGGAGGAGAAGGGGGGGGGGAGGGCACAAAAGTCGGGGTCTAAAGCTAAAACTGAAAAAAAAAACTCTCTTCCGCAACCCTTGTTCCTCCCCTCTCCTACCTCAGAAGCCTCAC